GAGTGGTGGTGGGCGTCCCAAGGGGGTGGGAGAGGGTCTGCCCCACACTGAGCCTGGGCTGGGACTGGTCCCACCGGCGCAGGGTAGCAGGAAGCTCTCCCACACACTTACTGGACCTGGGCTAGGACTGGGTCTGAGGGTTCCTGGATCGCGGCAGGAATTCTTCACAAACGAGTTTTTTTTAACCTATGCTTTGAATTAGTAACAAGGCTATATAATTAGTGACAAGTGCATATCTCAGGTTCTATCAATAATGCAAAGAATATTTTTCATTTTAGTCATATTTAATAAGTATATAAAAAATTTCATTTATAGCATTTCATTGTGTACTAGCCAATGAAATAATCAGAAAATTAGAAAATGTATATTATAGGTAAGAAAAATGAAGCCCCAAGTGTTAATTGATGTGTCCAACTGGACACAACTAGAAGGAAAGTCAGAGTTAGAAAAAGCAAGAGTCAGGGATATAGCTCAGTGGCACAGCGCCTGCCTAGCAAGCTCAAGGTCTTGAGTTAAGATTAAAAAAAGAAAGAAAAAAAAAAGCAAAAGATAGGAAAGTGTCCAATGGAAACTATGAGAGCAGGAATGACTGAGTCGGGGAAATAGAAATCCTCCCTCAGAGAACAAACTCATGCCTGTTCCAGGGCAGATTTCTTCTCCACCTACTACCTGTTCGAAACCCTGACTCATTCTGGTCATAAATCAGGATTCAGATGTACTATTCTCCCACATCAGTAGATGGATGGAGTGGGCTCCCATGCTATGCTATGTGGATTCCGACTGAGTCTGCAAAAGCTTTCAGAGGAAGCTACACAGAAAGTCACTATTATTCCTTTGCATCTATCAGTGAAGTAGCTTCTGCCAATCTGCCCTCAGGAAAGTGCTTCATTTGAAATGTGGCAGGCTCTCTCATTCCTTATATAGTGCTTTACACTCGTCTGAAACTCTTGTGCAAGTCCTGCCTTCTTTTAGAAAGATCTCTTGGTCAGGCGTGATGGTACATGCCTGTAATCTTAGCACTTGGGAGGCTGAGACAGGAGTATCATTGCAAGTTTGAGACCAGCCCGGCCTACAAAATGAGCTCTAGACCAGCCTGAACTGCATAGCAAGGCCATGTCTCAAGAAGACAAAAA